CTAAGGAGAGATCCTGTCGGGGCTTGCTGGCGCGAGATTGAGTCCGATTTCCCCCTCCCCTCCGCAGACAATGCCATGTGGATGGCTCATCAAGGCCTGCTACAAAGCTTCTCTTAAAAACAGAAAATAGGAGACAATTGGGTCTTTGTGTCAGTACCCCGATGGCTGGGAATAACGCTCTAAGAACAAAGTCATGGTACAGAGCTGGGGACGCATTTGGCAAGCAGATTTCAAGGGGATACTTCCCCTACGAAGGCTTTTTCTCTTTTAAAGGATATCCTTGCTACGTTTCAACTACTTGATTCGACCACAAGCTTTCGTCCAAATGATAGACTGAGCCCTGAAACGAAGCTGGTCCTGCCAGAACGCCCCGGGAGAGCTGGGCGAGGTGACGTCCCGGCTCGAATGCAGCCAAGCAACGCAACGCAACGCAGATGGGGCGCGTGTGGCTTTGGGGTGGGGGAGCGCTCACCGGACTGGGATCTGGCACCTTCGGCTGGCTGGGCCGGTCCTGCCTGATGTCCCGGGACTGGGACACGCTCCCTCAGACGCAGCGAGGCAGGACAAGCAGGCTCCCCACGCTCGCTGGAAGGAGTCGAAACATCCACCTAGTTGGATCCCCTCATGCAAACGGGGACAAAACGGTGCTCTCACTGGGATGAGCAAATCAAAAAGGCAGCGGATTTTCTTAGCAGGGATCCGACACGTAAATGATCCCAAAGTCCCGTTCTCCTGTTCTCACCCACGTCTCCAGAGGAGCTGTGCTTCTGGGCTGCCCTCTGCCAGCTTGCGTGGAGGCTGCCGCATCGCCCTGAAAGCGGGACCCCCTCACCGTACCCTCCCTGGGGCTGGGATAAAACCCTTCTTTAGCGCTGCTTCGCACAGTACCAGGGCTTCAGATGAGGGCTTTAACTCCAGCCCCTGGCCTAACAGGGAGCCGTTACCAGTAACCTATTTACCTAGCACATACTTCAGCCAGGCAGGGCTTTTTATCTCCAAGCACTAAGCAGAAGGGTTTTGCCAGGGCCTGGAGAGCACAGCAGGGACAGGCTTGTGGGGCTGAGCTGCTTTGCTGGCAAAACTACACAGGCACGGAGCTAAAAAGCCCCTCTCCTCCTCTGCTAAAGCGCTCGGCCAAAAGGGGAAGAGAAACCACGGCGTCGCAAACTTCTTGACATCTCCCCCACCCCGATTGCCACAGGGCCTTTGCAGCTGTGCAAAGAGGCATGGCCCGAGCTGCTCCTCCCAGGGCAAGCCAGCAGGAGACACAGGTGACAGCTGGGTGACGCCACTCTCCAGACTCAGGGGAGTGGCGTGTGACCCTGCGGGTGCGAGCGTTGCGACATCCACCCCGTCGCTTCGCCTCGGAGCTGGGCGATGCAAGGAGAGCGCCTGGCTAAAATCTTTCTTTGGCCCTGAGGGAGTCCTCCTGCCCACTCACGTAGGGAGCAGTGGCATCCGCCCTGGCCCGATCCGTGGGCTTTCGCAGCGGTGCAGGCCAAGAAATTTCCCTCTCCTGCCCTTCTGGCTCCGCAGCGTGCCTCCCCCTCACCACAAAGCCCGCTGCAAGGCCTGTTTGCCCACATACCAGCCCATTTTGGTCACAGACCTTCATCCGTCTTGCCACGGGGGCTAATTTACTGCCCAGCTAACGCCGCGGAAGGAGACAGCCTACAAAGCAAGCAGGACGCGATCAACTAATTAACACAAACACGGGCAGAATGAAGTCTGCAAAGAGAACCAGGATCTGCCTCACTCATGAACACTACGCCGATTTTAGGAACCTTAGAAGGCTTTTTCCGATGTCGTTTTCTCGAGGGGATTGCTCCCCTCCCCAGTATGCAAAAAAGAAACTGAAAAGCAGAAATCTCATCAGCAACTCGCCCCCGCCCTGCTGAGGGGCTGAAACCCAGAGCCAGGAAAGCCACAGCCCAGAGGAGTCCCCAGCCCGCCAGCGAGGGGAAATGCACGGAGAGGGGTTCAGGCAGGCACCGCTGGACGAAGAGGAGACGTGCTTCCTGCAGCCCAGCAGCAGTGAAGTCGGGACACCGGAACGGCTGTCAGCTCCAGAGGAAGCAGAGCTCAGCTCTTGGAAACAGCTCAGCTCCACAGATTTGCACCGCTGGCGCTCTATGGCCGCGGGCATTCAGGGCTGGTCCCATCCATCTTTAGCTGGGAACGGCTCCGCTCTCTCATCTATTAACCGCAGATAAACCCAGGCTCCCGAGCACCCAGAATCGCCACCAGCCGGTGAAAGAGCTGAGCTGACAGCTTGGCCCCTCCTGCAGGGCAGTGGTAGGAAACGCGGTGGCTGCCGCGCTCTCCTGCAGCTCTGCACCGCTGCCTAGGCAGCTCGGATGCACGCTCAGCTCCCCTAAACCCTCGCGCCGCCGTCCCCCCCACCAAAGCGCGGCAAGCTCTTCTCCAGCCCTGCAACACGTGGCAAAATCTAAGGGGCTTGGAGGATGCCTGCGTGCCTTCGACCAGCTGCAATCCTCCCCTCCCAAACCAACCTCAGCGAGGTTTTGTTTTCCATTCACCTCCCTCTGAAGCATAAGGGCTTTTTCCTGATCGAAAAAACCCTCCCAAACCTTAGCCTCAAGCGCTAAGCAAGCACAGAAAGTTCCAGCAGGCGCGGTAAGCGCTTGCAAAGCCGTCAGCAGGTGAAGAGAAGGCACATCGTGGAAAATTTTCGACTATTTGAACAATAGGTGGAGTCAGGAACAAACTCCTTTCCTCCACGGCCATCGGAGAGAAGAGACTCAAAGAGAGGCGAGTTTGCAGCCCCCCCAGCACCAATACTGCATCGCAGCCTACCGGGTCGCTCAGCGACGCGCCCGCGACGTGGAGCAAGCACGGGCAGACAGTGACGCACCTAGGCAAGGTCTGGCTGGCTCAGCACCGACTGGAAACAGGCTTTCTGCTGGCTGCGGGGGCACATCGCAACACTAGACCGGCAAATCTCAAGAATTACCTCATCCGGCCTAGAGTTAACCCATCCAAATCATTGGAACGGACCAGAGCCAGGGAAGAGAGCACATCGGGGCTTTCTGTCCCGGCCACAGCCTTTCTGATCTACTCCTAGGAGCCCTAAAACCAGACTTGTGGTATATCGTGGAGCCGCGATCTCAGTGGGTCCCTGCAAGCCCTTTGAAACCTGAAACCTGCACTGTAACGTCGACTCGGTTTTTCAAACTTAACAACATCAAAACCCCACACGAATGTCACATCCTCAGAGCTCAGAAACAGCGAGACCCGCGGCCGTGGTTCTCGGCGCCTCAGCCAGAATCAGATGGCAAATTTGTCACTGCAGATCAAGAGCTAAACACATGCTGCTGAGCTTAAAAAAAAAAAAAAAGAAAAGAAAAAAGGAGGACGGTCTTAAACCCGGAGCGGTTGGATGGGTGGTCTCTGGAGCGTTCCTCCCTGCCCCACCTCCAAGGGCAGAGCCACACACAAATACAGGAACTAGGAGTCGCCCATGCGTTTCTCGGCATGTTCTCCTTCTCGGGGCTTTCAAAACAAGCACGCTGTGCAGGCCTGACGCAAGCGGCTCCGCGAAGGGACCCAGAGGTGGCAGGCCAACAGGGTTCGGGGGAACCCAAGCACGCAAAGACAAAAGAGACCCGCCACCACCCACACTTTCCACATATAAAAGAGATGACGCACTGTCAATTCCCCTCTCGGTTGGGAAATGAATCCGCTCTAGTTCGAGTGGTCTCGCAGCTCAGGGAAATCCAAGGACCTGCTTCACATGGAGAGATCAGACTAATCCTGTCTGTAATAAACCCGTGGACTACTGCAAGCCATGCTGCTGTAGCAACAGCCCAAAATACTGCTGCAAAACAACTCCAAGAGAGCAGCCTCCTTTTCTCGCGAGAAGGAAGCACAAGCTGGATTGAGCAACAGCTTTGCTGCCTCTCAGCTGTGACTAAATCTAGCAACTGCCTTTTTAGCTGGAGCCAGAACAAAAGTCAAACATTGAAAAAACAAGCAGAGTTCCTTTTCAGCACTGATTTCTTTCACGGCAGGAGCTTACAACCCTCTCTCTCTCGCTCACTGTCTCAAAAGCAGGCACAGCATTTCGAAGCGGAAGCCTAACGGCCTCAAACTCAACACTGGGGCAGTGGGAGCGTTTGGGAGACAACAGAATCGATTCGGGGGAACAAGCGGGGTGCTTTGTGCTGGCCTGTCTCGGGCAGGATGAGACCACAGCGTCTCTCAGCAGCACCCAACTTTAGGCGAAACATACACTTAAAGAGCCCATTCTTCTGCCACTGCAAGGAAATTCCCCCAGGGCTTTTTGTTTGTTTGTTTTCTTGGGGGAGGCGCAGAAGAGAGAGGGCTTTAAGCTGTTTCTGCGTTTTCCTGTATCTTAGAAGGCTGTGACTCTTCCTGTGGGTTCCTGCAGTCGAGTAGATGAACGGGACTCAGCTACAACTACCCTGCCCACCCCATCCCGACTCAGCTACCCCACTGCCGGGATCCCTGTGCAGGCATCAGGCAACCGCGCTTCGCTCTGTAATTAGCGCTGCATTCAGCATTACTTATCTTCCCACTTCTCCCTCACCTTTTCTCTCTCCCTATCTCCTTCCCTATTTGCAGGCATCTCCTCTAATTCTGGCCCACCTCTAATTCTTGGTGCTCCCCAAGTGATCAGCCACAAATGAGTCAATTAGATCAGCATCTCCCCAAAGAGCTTCAGTGTCTTCTGGAAATTAGCAGAGGCTTAGTGCTTCCTTCCCAGAGCAAGCAGAAGGGCTGGGCCGCTTGCCAAGTCAATTCAGCATCGATTACACCCTCCTCTAGCCCTCACGCAGATACGCCAACACTTTGAACTCTGCAGAGTCCAAACGGCACCTCGCGCGCAGCAAACGCAAAGTAGGCTGGACGCAGCCTGCAGGCTGGACATCACTGCTCAAACGGGAATCAAGCAACATGGTTTTGCCTTCGATTTCCTCCGCCCAGCTACAGAAAGGGACTGAGACAAAATGACTTACCAGCAGTGTTTGCTATGGCCAGCGGCAGCCCTTGCAGCTGATGCACCTGGATCCCAGACGCTCCCAAGGCACTGAGGTTAATAGTCTGGAGGCCTGGCATGGAGGAGAGCTGAGCAGCGTTGACCGTGACAGTGCCGCTGGGGAGGGAGGCGATGGGGGTGAGCGTGGTGCTGGTGCTGCCCGTCTGCCCCAGCGACACTCCCTGCATGGGGGCCAAGGTGATTGTCTGGGCTTGGGGGTTTTGCACCTGAAGGTTTTGGAGCTGGATGGTTTGCCAGCTCACTTGCCCGTTCGGCCCCATCGTGGGCGTTCGGATGATGATGGGCCCGGAGTTGGGGACCGCTTGGAGCTGCAGGTTCTGCAAGGCATCCTGGGAGATGGCTTGAGTGGCAAAGGTCTGGCCAGAGAGCGGGGTGGTCTGGAGGGCTTGGATGGTCTGCCCTCCTTGGACTAGCTGAGGTTGGATCAGGATCTGCTGCTGCTGCTGCTGCGACTGCTGACTCTGATCCCCCTCTTTCTGCTGCCCTGGCTGCAACGCCACCCCAGAAACCTGGCTCTGCAGAGAGTCCGAATTCTGGACACTGCCGACCCTCTGGGGCGTCTGCGCCTGAACATTTGTTCCCACGGTCGCACTGCTGGAAAAATTCATGATGCCCATGTTACTGGTGGTGGTGGTGGTGGAGTAGCTGTTGGCGTTGGTAAAAAAGGAGCCAGAACTAGCATGAGATGTGGCCATGTTGGACGAGCTGATGGCAGCGCCTGAGGTGGCTGGCTGGGAGCTGCTGTCCGGAGAGCCGGAGCTGCTCAGAGTGACCGTCTGAGAGGTGGGGGCCAGGCTAGCCGCCACGCTGTTGACCGGCAGCAAGGTGATGTTGCCGTTCAGAGCCACGGGGACATTGGCCACGTACTGGGTTTGCCCTGAGAGGGTGTTGTTGGCTAAGCCCACACCCTGGATGGGGACAGCCTGCTGCAGCAGGTTTGGCATGGCGATGAGGTTACCCGTCCCGGCTCGGCTAGTAATGATCTGCTGGTTCGTGCCGGGGATGATCTGCAGCTGGCCAGAGGCATCCTGCTGCACATTGACTTGGGCAGGGGTGGTGGCAAACTGGAGCTGCTGCCCATCAATGGTCTGGAACTGGGGAATGACCTGGTACTGGATATTTGGGATAACACCTGGCAGGCCCGTCAGCACCTGCTGGTTCTGCAGATTGGAGGCGGCCGGGACCACGGATTGCCCCGCGCTCACGGGCCGGCTTTTTGATGAGTCGCTGCCATTGCTGCCGTTGGCGCCCTGCTCCTTGGAAGGAGTCGGTGTGCTGGAGCCAGTGGATATGATCTGCCAACCGTTGGCGGATTGGGCAATCTGAGCAGCAGCGGCCGTGAGGTCCAGCTCGCCGCTCCCGCCTTGCTGGCCCTGGGAACTGTTGGAGTTCTCGTTGGGAGACTCGATCCTGCTGCAGGTGGCTGCCAGCAGAGCCAGCGGGGAAGGCTGGGACTCCTGGGAAGGAGAGGAGGAGTTAAGGACACAGGAGGCGGCCCAGTGGGCAGGCCGAAAAAAAAAGAGAAGCCAGGGAGGAGCGTACTTGGAAAAGATAAACACTCCTTCCTGAGAAAACCCACCCACAGCCGGAAAAATACAACTGCCAGACACAGGGCTGTCAGGCCGGGACAAACTGAACCCACAGTGAAAAACCCTCCGGTGGGGAGGAAAGGGGAGGGAGTTTGCATGTAAAACCCAAAGAGACACATTTCTTCCACTCCAAAGCGAGTGAATCTCCTTGTAGCACTACAGGAGAACAACTCCTACAGCTGTTTCTGGGCACCCAGATCAGGGAAAGGGCTGGTCAGGGCCGTGGCAGCTACTTGGAACCAGGGTGTACAGCCTATTTTCAAGAGCACCATGCACAACTCGGGGAGGAGGGGAAAAATGCTCTGGGCTGGCACTCCCTGCT